AGTCCATGGGGCCGTCCAAGTAACTCTTCATCCCTATCCCTTCTTTCAACTTCCCGTATATCTCCAAGTGGTCTTCGCTTCGTACCTTCTTCCGAAGGGTTGCCTCCTCCCTACTTTCTAGCATCTCCTTGACTTTCTTCGTGAACCCGCCAAACCCTTTCGTGTCCAATGTCTCCTCCTCGTCTCCTATCTCCTTCCAAACCCTCTCTACCACCTTGTCCCATCCGATTCCTTTCTTCCCTGGAGTCGCTTTTCCCCAAGCTGCCTTGTCAACCATGGCTGGTAGTCTATCGTCCGACATTCTACTTACCTTGTACTGCCAATTCAACTTTTGCATGTATCTCTTTGTTTTAAGAGAGTACATTCCCAGTTCTGCTCTCAATACAGTGTTGCTCGTTGTACTTGAACATCCTAGTATTTTCTTNGGCCGCTGCCATCTGCACCGTTTCCAGCTGCTTGACGGCCTTTTCGTTTCCTTCCCATAATTCTCCTGCATACTCTAGCTTAGGTACAATCACATTCAAGAGAACACACCNTCCCAGGTACGTATACCTATCTACTACCGGTAGTTCTTCCTCCTCCCATTTCCATTTGAATTCTACGGGATTTTTCTTGTCTTCGTTACAGACCACTATTGCGCATATTCCTACCTCTTCTCGTGTGAACTCTCCCTGCAACCCGCCTACATCACTACATTCCCTCCGAGATCTTTCAACGTTTTCCTCTGCCCACGAGTTGATTTCCTTCTCAAACTCCGGGTCGAAGGTGTCGTTGGTTGTGGGTGTCCCAAGTTTGCGGTAGTGCTCTACTAGTACTTCCCGCTTTCCTTTATAACTGCTTACCATCTTACCCTCGGCAGATCGTAGTGTCGCTATTCCCGTGTCTCCCCTTCTTTTCTTGCCCACTATCCCTTGAATTCCTACCCACATTTGCTTCATCCCCCCTCAAAATCTTCGTTAGTCTTTTGGACTACTTCCTCCCACAACGCTTTCTTCTTCTTCACCACCAACTCCTTCACCCTCTTCTATTTTCAACATACTCCTTCCATCCTGCATCGGTTTTCCCTGCCGCATATTTTGCGTGTGACTCTCTACGTACTCGAATTGCTTGCTTGATTTCTTCGTCCCACCTCTTCACTGCTCTCTTACAACTATCAACTTTCTACCGAGAACTCTACTTGCCGTTGTGTTTACCAGCTTTACCCACCCTTCTATGATTGATTCTAGATCCGGCCTGGTCCCGACCTTTGGCATCCTTCGGTGTGCCCATTGCCTCTATCAACTCCGAGAGTTTCGTGTCGTGTACAGCCATCTCTTCTTGGAACTCTACCGTCGTTTCTTCTACTTCCTTCTTATCTATTCTCCATCTGTACATTTTCCTGCGCCGCCTACTCTGTATGACTCTCGTCTGTTGTAGGGCTGTCCGTCCACCCCAACGCATGGGCTGTAGTGCCTACATCCGTTGTGCATACTCGTACTTCCGTCTCTTTCCCCCCATTCTCTACGACTATGTAGTCAAGGATGGAGCGTTCTGCTTTTTTGAAACACTGCCTAGTCCATTCCGGTTCTGTCTTTCGTACTCTACCGTTCAACACCTTCATCTCGCTACTGTCAAGGAACCTCAGCATTTCTTCCCCGTTTTTGTTCGTGGCTCCCT